CGGCGGCTGACAATTAATTAACTTGTATGGCACTAATAATCTGGAAGTTTTGTGACGTGCATATTTAATCTAAGAATGTAGAATCAAAATAATTAAATATTAATGAAGTTCTAGTTTAATTAACAAAAAAAAAAAATTGACTACATCCACAGATATATTATGTACATATATTAAATAATTTAGCTCATAAATAAACATTTAGTTGTCCCTTTTATATTACATTCATCAATTATTTATGTAATTTATTTACAGTTCCCAGTGGGAAGAATTCATCGTCACTTAAAAAATCGTACAACAAGTCATGGACGTGTTGGAGCTACAGCTGCTGTTTACAGTGCTGCTATTTTAGAATATCTGACTGCTGAAGTAAATATTGTTGTTATAAAACATTATCTATAGTATTGGATTAAAATATTGATTATTTAAAGGTACTCGAATTGGCTGGCAATGCGTCAAAGGATTTAAAAGTGAAGCGTATCACGCCACGTCATTTGCAACTTGCCATCAGAGGAGACGAAGAATTAGACACACTTATCAGAGCTACAATTGCAGGAGGAGGTAATTTAAATTATGGCGCTGTTATAAAATTCACCCTACATATTATTTTTGTTTTGCAGGTGTTATTCCTCATATCCACAAATCCCTCATTGGCAAAAAGGGATCTCAAAAACCACAGTAAAATTCCACCTGCCATACAAGACTAATTAAATGTAAAACATTTATTTGTAATTCGTAAGCTATGTAATTTGATTTTATTCATTTACCATTTGTTCTTTGCCTTATTTCAATAATAAGTTAAGTTTTATACCTCGTATATTACAAAATGATTCCATTTGCTCTTTTGTGCAAGTGTTGGAGGTATAAAACTTCTTACGGCAAAGACTAATTATATTAAGACAAAGTAAACTTCGACTTTTTTTTGTAATAATAATTTTTTTCACTCAAGTTATATAAATCGGAAATTGTTTTTGATTATGTTTTTAATCGAAAATTTCTTCGATTATTTAAAATTTAGAATGTACAATATTTTGTTGTATTATTCACTTATGATAAAAAAATATATGCATTTCTTTTTATAATTAATCYGTGTTGRCGTTTATTTCTTACCATAGTTACTATATTTACAAAGGTTTATAATAAAATGAAAGTATAATATAAATGACTAAATTGAGTAATTATCAGTCCTTAACGTTAATTATCAGCATAGGGTTTATTCATATAATTTGATTTCTATCAATTGGTTATCATTAGCAATATCCAATTTCAACACACACRCTTTGTTCATTTATGTCATCTATAAAAGTGTTGAGAAGTTTTTCGGTGTATTTTTCCACAAAGTTAACACACTTGTCCTTAATTGGCAAAACGTCACATAATGATTCTAATCTGTATTGAATATCTTTCTGCAGAAAAAATTAAATTAATAAAAACAATTTTTAATATATTCGTGTTTGTTCTTACTTCCATCGGAGAAGTTTCAATTTTATGCTTGATGTCGCGAATTATGTCCTTGCAGATTGTGCACTTGGGATGGAATTTCCCATACTTTTTTTCCACTGAAATTAAAAAACCTCTTAAAAGGAACTGTTGGGGTTTCGTTTAAATTTCTAAAATCCTTACCACACGGTTTACTGCATGTGGTTCGCAAGTTTTCTATTAAAACTCGAATGAGCCAATCATTGTTGTCGACAAATTTTATCTTACAACCATACCTGATGAGATTCAGCAAGTCATTGACCTTAAAAAAAATGTTTCAAATATGAGACCATCAACTAGTATAGTAAAGTAGCATATTATGAATTTGCGTGATGACTGGCGACCCAAGGAATATTTAATTTAATTAATTAATAATAATAATAATCATAGATTAATGGAGCAATATTGCTTGTTCRTAATAAAAACAACTTCAGAAYATTTCATTATACCAACATTGTTTATTAGATAAATTATATGCTTATTATGTTAACTCTACATTACATCCACTGTAATACATATAATCTACAATTAAGTTGTGTAGTATTACATATCGAACAGTAAAGACAATGGCAACATAGAATAATTTTACATATGATTAAGTTGGCCAACAAAACTGAATTGTTAAGACTAAGGTAAGTTATATTTTTAWTGRCGTACATTATCCTGCTTCGTATTCATCTAACARACTTACAGATAACTATAAACCATTCAGTAAATTTATATTTAGTCACTTAACAAAATGATAAGAGATTGTAACAATCATCTGATCATACAAAAACCATTTTTATGACATTACGAAATTTAAACTGTTCTATAGTTTCAAAGCATATTATATTTTATTACAAATATTTTCATGTTTTCTAGACATGCTGAAATTAAATTATTCAATTGCAATACAAATTTTAAATATATAAACACCAATAGAGAAAAAAATAAATACATTTAGAAAAATAATTGTTTTTAAGTTCATGCTTTGTATAGGCAATTTTTTTCTGAATGTTATATGTATAGTAAGTACAAAAATATATATATATATATTACTTTATAAATTAGTTAATCCAAAATATTTTTAAAAGAAAAAAAAAACAATAKATAATGAAAATATGTATATTMATAGTTTAACTAAAATTTAAAACATAATATTTTATCACGGTTTTAACCTTAGCATATATTWAAAAACCATCTATTAACATAAAAAGGAATATTTATAGGTAATAATAATTGTTAAGTCTAGACTATCAACATTATAAGTCATAATTAGTTACAATATTGATTTTGCGTTCACATAACATGAGTGTACATTGATTTTAATCTAATATTGAATATCACTTTAATCTTCGATAAATTTTACGTTCCATGAAGAGCGTTTGCATAACAATTCAGCCTGAAAAAAGCATACATTTATAAGACAATGAAATTCTTTGATTCTTGTAAATTTATGCATTCAAAATGTTATAACAATTAAATCTGTTAATATTTTATAGAATGTAAAATTTTTTTTAAGATAATTACTTTATGYAAACATTAAAAAAAAAAAATAAAAACAATAAAGCAAGTTGTTAAAATGGCATTGWTGTTATTTCCTCTAAATAAGTTATATTTGTTTGGAAACAAAAACGACAAGTTTAAACCAATACAACTCATTTGTCAAGTCATGGGCTTCACAACAAAGGGMACATTGCATTAACTAATATTGTCAAAAAATATTTAATTTTATAATTACCTTGCAATCTTTGGCGTTATCCCATGATTTACACCAATACTCTGAGCCTTCTAAACATCTGGAGTTACTTAATTGGTTGACTGCAACACTTTTATTTTTATCGCACAGTGCCACTTTTTCGCACATCATCCATGTAGGAAAATGGTTCAAGAGATTTTTGAAAGATTGAGCGTATGACTCTATCATCTCCATACACTGCATAATATTTATTAATGTGAATTTATAATTTTAGAGTTCGCTTTTATAAAATGGTTTTAACTTAAGACGTTCACGCACAAAYACAATTTTTCARTGTTATAGTGATATTAGTTATTTAATTATTTTYGATTTAAGCCTATTTTAATTTGATGAAAGGTTCAAAGAGGAGAAAAGAYGTTTTAACAGTTTGTCAAAAGTGATGGGGCTTAAAAATAAATATTATTTCTTGGGTCTAGATGTCATCTAACTAACTACAATTTTCAATAAAAATTACACATAACTTGCAAACTATGATTCAAGAATACCAATTTAGTTGTTGTATTTACCTGGTCCTTGTGAACAATTTCAACTTCATTGCACAGCTCGGCTAAATCCAAGTAATCAACGCTTACAGAATCATTGGTTAAACGATCTTCAAATACTGTGATAAATGCTTCGCACGCAGTACAACTCTCAGAACTATCCAATTCCATGGGTTTTGTTGTAGTTAAATGTACATTATTTTTAGGCAATTCAATAGTTTGTTTGCCATCAACTATATAAATAAAACACATTAATATATTAATAAAATATACTTATCCTTCCATAAAAATAATAATTATTGATTGTTATTTATTTATTCATGCGTATTATAACATTATTAGTTGTAATAATTTACTTTTCTCATTATCGCACACCATTAATGCCATACACGCAATACCCGGATCAGWTCCGATTTTAATGAAGTTGATGATTTTATWATAGTTAGAGTCAATAAAAGATTGACATTCATTTTCTTCAACATTGGGTAATACGCTACATACTGATTCTAAAACATGTTGTATTTCCTCCTAAAAATTAATTTATATTATTTTAACAACTTCCATACAACCATACAAATAAATCTCTACGACAATTCTTACTTCATTYGATTTGTCTTTGATAACACTATTCAAATATTTCATTACAACCKTGCATACTAGGCAAAATGGAGTTGGTACTTTTGGTTCTTCCAACATTTTGTAATTATTGGCCAATAATTGTCCCATATTGTATCCAGGAAACACTATGGTAACTTGTCCAGCTGTAGCGATCATATTTGTTTCTAAAAAGATAAAAATTCAAATATACAATAATTAAATCTATTATCTACAAATTTATTTAAATAATAAATTAACATTTAATTTGCTTACCTAAGTCATTTTCAGCACTTTCAGATATAGTCTTTGGTTTGCAAATTTCCAATAAAACGCAAATTTCTTCAGGTTTAACTTGAGCAACTAACATGTCAAGTATACTTTGTAGTTGAGTTGAAACAAAAACTGTGCATTCTCCTTTCCATTTTGATGGCAGTTTGGTACATAACTTTTCCAATTTTTTTTTAATCACTTCCTGAGTTTTATAATTATAATTAATTATTTATTTTATTAAGGGCCATTCTTACAATGCTCGGTTAGTGCCTGATAACACTAACCGGAAGAATTTATCATGAGTTAACCGATAGAATTCTACCGGTTAGTCTTAACCGACACTTAACCGGACATTGTAAGAACAGCCCTAAGTGTACTTCCTTACTGTGTCTAGATGCCCAATCATGATAAGCTGAGATATAAAACAGCCGACCAGTGTCAGTAACTTAAATTAATGAATAAACAGAATACAATAATTAAACTATAAAGGTGATTTTTTAAGTAGGCACTCCCTTAAATTATACATTCATTTTCATAAATTCTTACTATGATTTTTGGAATTTTTAAATACATTTGAAGATCATATTTTTGAATACTTAAGATTTTGTTACAAGATAGCAATACAATTAATACAAACTTCTATTTACCATATAAGAACCCCCACTTTTTCACTTTTSTTTATACARCATATATTTTTTTTGAGAATTATATGGCAGTTGTTGATTGATACTTTTAGAC